GGGTGGGTGGATGGGTAGGAGGGAAGGAAAGATGGAAACACCTTGGGACTATATTAACTCCCTTGGTAGAGCCTCCAGTCCCCTGTGTTACCCACAGGTAGAGGAGAGACTCCCAAAGGCATCCTGACACACCTCCCATCAGGAAGAGGGTCTGGTGGGGCCTGGGTAGGAGATGGTGTCATGGCGCTGGGTTGGTGGGGGGCAAGGAAGAGGGCAGGAAGGCACCTACATGGAGAAGTTGGTGATGAAGGCTTTCTTGGGCAGCTCCACCTGGAAGGTGGCCTCCTTCACAGTATTGGCCCGGTTGACCACCCGGCTGGTGACAACCGTGTGGGCAAATCGGGATGAGACCTTGGAGTCCACGGTGAGGCTGTAGATGTCGATGTCATTCTGGACCAGCAAAGGAGGAGGCATTAAGTTGTTTGAACACCACCAGCTTGGGGCAACCAGACAAGCCCTGGCCCCCAACCCTGACTAAGCCTCTGACCAGTCCTCAGGATAAACCCAGTTGGGTACTTCCTAAGTGATCATTCATCTCAAATAAGAGGCAGCTCCACACTTCATTCCTTGCCCTAGGGCACCATGGGACAGGGGCCGCATCTGTCTTATTCTGTGGGTGTCAAAGTGCCCTGGAGAACAAGAAGCACACTGGGTGTGGTGGAGCTTGGGCCTCCCATTGTTTGGGCACAGGCGAGCCACAGAGGGCCCCAGTGGGGTCAGGAAGCCTCCTACACAGTGACAGGACAGTGGACAAATCTTTGATCCCTGGGAACGTTGGCCTCCATAGACTGGGGAGGCCAGCACCAGCCAGTCTCCTACCAGGGGGCCACGGGAGCTGGGAGAATTTGGGGGTAGACGAGGGTCCAGTCCCTAAGATGATAACAGGGCTCTTTCTCTTTGCCCCTCTCTTCCCTGCAGCCAGGGGTTCGGGGACTTGGAACCCTGTGATCCCTCCCCAGCTCCCCCTCCCCAGGTCCGCAGGGCACTCCGGTAGGCATATGCTGTCTGCATGCAGGTGCACAACTTCCCTGTGGTCTGGATCCCCAGGAAGGACACACACACACACACACACACACACACACACACACACACGCAGACCTGTACACACATATGCCTCCCCACGTGTACATACCAGCTCAGTTCAAATACACATGGCTGCTTACACGCATGACCCAGGGTGTAGGACTAGCCATGTGACTTGTTCACATATGTGCCGACATCTGAGTGTGCTGGGCACTGTTCTAAGCACTTTATAGGTATTGTAGGTATGATCTTCACAACAACCCTCTGAATAAGTTCTATTCTTGCCCAGATGGGGAGAACTGGGACATAAAAACGTAACTGACTCTCCCAAGGTCACTCAACTGTGGGGAGGCAGGGCTGGGAAAGGGGCCCAGGCAGTGGGCTCATGAGCCACATTCCCACCACCTGCCCCACTGCCAGCCTCCAGGGCCAGCTTCCTAAGCCTCAGCTCCTTGTCTGTAAATGGAAATCACAGGATCACCGCTTTTAGGAAAAGGGAGGACACACACAAAGCCACGGGGTAGCGCCTGGCATGTGGTCAGCAGCACTTTGCAGGCACACAGATCAGCACTCACTTGTACTTACAGGCTTGCATACACAGAGGCTCTTCCCCACTTCTCAGACCCGCTCGCTTGCTCACCAGCTCACACCACTCACGCTTAGGCACACACAGATGGGTGTCCACCACGATGTCTGCTACCTTTTGGGTAGTGGTGGCCTGGAGGGCAGCCAGCAGCGCAAGCAGGACGAGCATGGTGCTGCAGGTGCGGGCAGGGGCTGGGGTCTTCATTTTGGCCCCAGTGCCAGCCAGGCTGTTTCTGAGCTTGAGAGGAAGTGGGGAATGAATTAGTAACTTGCTCACTGCCCCGCCCCTGCGGGGGCAGGTTCTGGGAAATTGGGATCCGCAAGCCAAAAACACAGTGGCCACAGATAAGCAGGCAAACTATGAATGCCCCATGGACCTTGGCGGGGGGGAGGGACACGTCCCAAGGAAAGGCAGGCTCACGTTGGAGTTGAGTATTGGCACCATTCTGAAAGGCCCAGAACCTTCCCAGGTGCCCACGACCCCTCACACCAGTGAACAAAAGCCACAGTCTGCTATGAGTCTAGTATAGGACAAAACAGAAGGGGTGGCTAGGAAGACTCAGGCTAGAGGGCAGGCTTCCTGGAGGAAGGCGCCTTGGAAGCTAGCTCAGTGTGGCTGGGCAGTGGTGGGTCCTGAAGGCACCGAGAAGCCCTTGGAGGTGTCTGGGTGGAGAAAGATCTGCTGGTGCAGGATGGATCTGCCTTCTTTCTAGGGCAAGAGGTGCTGGGCCCAGGAGCCCCCTTTCTCTTTCCTGGGGTCCCAGGCTGCTGTTTGGGCCCCATTAGGCTAGCCAGTGCTCTCAGTTCAGCTCCAGCAAGGACCCCAAAACAAAGACCTGCAATTAGGCAGTGCAAACCAAGAGTCCTAAAAATGTCCTCAGCTGCAGCCCCAGGGTCTTGCTTCTGAGGATTTACTGAGAGGAAGGCCTCCAACAAGGAAACTGAACAAAGGAAGCTCCTGCAGAGGGATCAGGGTGGCAGTGTGTACACTCAGATGCCCACGTGGGGGCCAGTAGTGCCCAGGGAACCCCGGAACCACGGCTCTGAGTACGTCAGGGCCCAAGGCAGTGCTGCTGTCCCAAGTAGGTGTGAGGGTGCGACAGCCAGACCAAAGGGAGTGCTGCCCAGGCGCCACGGGTAGGATTACGGGTGACTTTTTCTATGTTCCTTTAATAAAGTTAAATGTCACTTTTATAAGAAACAGCAATAAAATGAGTCAATAGCAGGAGGTTTGGCTGCAGCTGGTGCTAGTGTTCCTCAGTGGCCCTGGGAAAGCCTGCGTCCGTGGCCACTGGTGGGGTAGAGGTGCTTCACAAAGACGCGGCAAGGTGCCAAGTCCTGGTCAGGGAAGGAGGACAGCTCGGTGGCATTAGCCCCCCGAGGGGGCCAGCGAACACTGAAGCAGGGCCCCGGGGCAGTGAAAGCATCTTCTCCATCAGTCCTGCCTTTGTCTCAGCAAGCAGCATCTAGCCCTGGGGAAGGGCATTGTGGACTTTGGGGGGATTTCTATGGCTGAAAGTAAAATGTTCCCCTTTCTTAGCATGAGTCTGGCCAGAAGCTTCACTTCTGTGCACATCTGACACTGCTCACCTGTTTGGCTCTGGACATGATTGGGGTGACATGGGGTGGGGAGAAGAGACACCTCCTTTAGTGACCTGGGGGAAGGGCCGCCCCAAGGGGCCCAGTGAGCAGGCCAGGCCTGCCTCCACAGGAGCTCTGCTCCCTTGGGGCAAGCAGCATGGGCCCAGCCTGGAGCCAGAGCTGTATAAGGAGACCAGGCTGGCCGGGACTGTGGGAAACGCTCTGAGCAGTCAGCCTCCCCAATCCAACCCTGTCTCCCAGCGGGCAGGAGGGGCGTCCCTGCAGGATCAGCCCTGAGCCAGGTCCTGCAAGCCCAGCCCTGAAAGCAGCTCTGTCAGCCTGCCCATGGTCTTGCTGTCTGTCATAGCTTCTGTGGACGGCAGGAGGGGTGAGGTGACACCCAGGCCCCACCTGCTTCACTCTGAGCAATGTCACTGTATAGTTCTGTGTACACAGGGGGACACTGAGGCCTAAAGGGGGGAAGAGTCACACATGAGGCAAGACCCTGGTGTGGTCATGCACCAGGCGGCTTTGTGGGAGTGGAAAGGGGGAGCCTTTTGGGAGGGGAGAAAGGGAACTGCCTGCTACTGGCCAGACAGGGGCCTTGACCTGCTCTGTATTTTAGGAGGTCACAAGAGTGAACAAGGGCCGGGACGCGGGGGACCTCTCACAGATCCCTGGGGTCCCTGGAAGCATCTCGATGGCTTCTGTGGATGGCAGGGGACAGCGTGAGACTCGGGCCCCACCTGCTTCACTCTGAGCAGTGCCACTGTGCCTGTTTTATGGAAGAGGCTCCAGCTCAACTCCTCTGTGAGAAGGCGAAATGAGGCTCAGAAGGGAGAAGAAACTGGTCTGAAGTCACACAGGTCGGTGCCAGGTCTCACATCCAGGGATTTTTTCAGCATGTGGCCAGAACAGCACTGGCGTTATCCTCGGGACCCTCCCCAAGCCTGGGAGGGTGCAGATACATTCCCACGCACCTACCCCAGCCTCCCCCACTCCCCAGCGCAGTGGCAACAGCTGATCAACCAACACCTTCCACTTGGGCATCATCTTTTTTTTTTAAATTTGTTGTTGCTGTTGTTGAGAATATACACAGAACATACACCAACTTCTACACGTACAATTCAGTGACATTGATTACATTCTTCGAGTTGGGCAACCATTCTCACCCTCCTTTTCTGAGTTGTTCCTCCCACATTAGCAGAAACTCACTGCCCCCATAAGCTTCCTATCTAACCTTTAGAGTTGCTGTTGTCAGTCTGATCTCATATAGACAGTTTGCACATCCTCTTTACTGGTATTTCTACGGTGCTGTGCAGAGCCCCACGGTTGAAGGACTGGGCAGTGGGGGCGGGCAGCAGTCTCAAAGACAGCAGGCGAGAAGGGTGTGTTCTGGCATTAGAAGAGTTCTTGGATCGGGCTTCTGTGTCTAGGGGTTCAGGGTGGCAAAGGGGAATGGTATGCACTTCTCAGCCAAGGACGCTCTTGGTGGGTCCGGCTTTGGGCTTCTCAAAGACGGTCTCAGTGCCTGTCCGGGCACCGCTGAACACCGACGGGGCAGCAAAGCCGGCTTGCTCTGTGGGAGAAGAGCGATAGTCAGGGGACTGGCCTGACTTCCCAGGAAGGGAAGGCCCCCCTCCTGAGCCCAGGAGCTCTGGACTCCCAGACAGGAGCCCTGGCCCCACCATCGACACACATCTGTGCCCCCGCCCCCACATGGAAGACACTCACCACAATCCCGCATGACCTGGTAGGTCTTGGACTTGATCTCCTGGTTCTTGGTCAGGTTCTCTCGGGCCCCCTTCAGGTCCTCCTCCTTCACAGCGGGGCGCTTCTTCTTGATGGGGGCTTCTGGAGCACCAGGCTTGGAAAGTCCAGAGCCTCGTCTTACAACCTGAGGCCTCCAGGCTGAGATGCCTTTCCCACCTCAGGGCCTCAGCCCTGGGACACCTCTCCCCTGCTCACTGAACTCGAGGCAATTCAAGGCCCCACTCCTCTTCCGGGGAGCCTTCTCTGCCTACCGCCCCTCTCCCTCTCACCAAGTCTCCCAGCCCTCTTGTCTGACTTGTACACCTGCCCTGACCCCACAGACAGAGCCCCTGTGGGCAGTGGCCGCTACCCTCACACTGCTCCGTCTACCTGGCAAGCTCAGGGCTGGGCACAGCGGGGGAAGGGGAAGGACTGGCTTTGAGGCTGAGCAGCCCTGGGGCTTTCTGGGGCCAAAAATTTCGTGTGTTCCAAGAAGTGCTCATAATGTGGCAGGGGGTCCCTCAGGGATTTGTGTCCTCTGTCCCCCAACCCCCCAAAAAAGCACCAGCATTTACCTTGTGTTGTTTTTCTGAGGCCTTACTCCTTCCTAAGCCCTGGGGCAGGTGCAGGGATTCCCTGGTCCCTCAGTTGGGGCCACACCAGATACCCCATGCAGAGACACACCCTTCTGGGGAGAATCCCAGGCATGGCGTGCACACTTACAAACACAGCCCCATGTGTACACACACACAGTGCACAGCTACAGAGGCCATGGCTACACACATGTACAGCACCACACACCCTCATACACGCAGCTCCCTCACACAGAGACGAGCACAGAGATCTGTAAGGACTAGACACGCTCCCCCCTACCCCTCCCCAGCCAACCACGAATCACAAAGCTTCATCAGGTAAGCGGGGCTGGAGAGGCTCCTACGTTTGTCTGGTGACAGCGGCCAGCTGTCTGCCCTCCCCCACCTTGGCCCCTGCCATGGCCTGTGTTGGGCCCTCCTACCTGGGACATGGTGCGGGCTGTGCAAGAGCTGTTGTCCGAAGGTGTCTCTGGCAGGCGGCGGCCGGTGGGGGAGCGATCTGAGCAGAGCCCAGCCCTCCGGGCTTATATAGGCAGCTTGCAGGTCCCAGGAAGTCACCCCCCGCCTCCGACAGGCCTCTGCTGCCGCGCCCCCGATGATTCAGGTCCACGACAGCCACTGGCTTCAGAGTTTATTCTTGGAGATGGTGGGGGCTTGCCGAGTACTGCCGCTCGGGGCGCGGGGGGGGTGCTGCGGCTGACAACAGCAGACAGCTGGGGAGACCCCGTGCCCTGGGAAGCAGCTGCCCTATTTGTAGGTGGGGGAGGCTGGGGTTGGCAGCACGCGTTGTGTTTATGAAGTGAGCCCTGGAACGTGTATGCTGGGCCGAGCTGTTGCCCGTCGGCAGCGGCCCACCCTGTGCCTGTAGGTCTTAGGGGAAAGAGAGGGCCCTGCGCCAGGGTGGACACAGCTGCTTTTCTTTCTCCTCCACCCCTTCCCCTCAATCCTAGGGGAAAGAGACTTTCCACCCCTGTACAGCAGCAGGCAGAGGCTTCCTGCCTGACACTGAAGCATTTGTTCACGGACAGCTCACTGGGCAGACTCAGATGGCAGGGCTACCACGGGTCCACAGGTGGAGAAACTGAGGCCTAGAAGCTGCTCCACCTGGGTATCTGCTCATGCCCTTGGCTTCTGTCCAGATCCCTGAGCAAGCTTAGCAAAGGGAGGAAGCAAGGCATGGGGAGAGGGCCCGGGAAAGGCAGGGGGGAGAGGGCCCGGGAAGGGCAGGGGGGAGAGGGCCCAGGAAGGGCAGGGGGAGAGAGGGCCCGGGAAGGGCAGGGGAGAGAGGGCCCGGG